GAGTCATTTTCATCCGTCTGTGAAATAGGAATTGTACTATTAAACTATTACCCCCTATTAGCTCCCAATAGTTTAACTTATGACATGCAACAACTGAATTAGGCAAACATGGTTTTGATTTTGCCTTTTGGTAGCCTACTACACCCTAATAGTTACTACTGACGAGTAGTAAATGTTTCACAGACGAAAATCACTCTACGTACAATAGGCAATCTTTCAATGAAGCATGATGGGAGATGTAACACTTTTCAAATAGTCCCTGAAAACTGTTTAAAATCTATGTCTTCATAAAAAAAACGCACAACGTCATGGTTCTTTTTGCAAAGAAAAAGCTAAGATTACTTTGAGGAGTCGCTGTTTGATGAAATGTGGGAGAATTTAATTTACGGGAAAAATGATATTGAACACGTGACGATTTTTCCTTATAATGCTCTTCTTACTTCTTGGTGAATATAAGGATTGTTCACACGCGCTGCCAATCTGTACAAAATCTCCCGGTTTTGTCGTTATCAAACGACTTAGACATATCGACACAGGTAGTCCGTATATGGTAAGAGTTTTGCCGCCGGCCGGAGAGGATCAAATAAAAATTCCGATGTTTAGATCATCGTAACTCAGCGAGTTTTTATGAGAATTCTCTCAAATTTGAAATTAAGAGTTTTTGAATAATACTCTTTTGACTGACAAAAAACTGTTTTCATGTCATATGCTCTTTAAGACATAAGAAAGGAAGATATTCTAAGTGTCTACTCCAGGCTCGCTAACACGTATTAACATAATGCATCTCGAAAAATCTTCTGTAAATATCGTCTCGTGTAATATCACCATATATAGAGAAACAAAGAAATAAAAAGGCCAAATATACTCACTTGTGTTAAAGTCCGGCCATATTGAAGGTCGATTATAGTCGGGTATTCTATTCAGTAAAATGTTGGGTCCTGTTCTACTAGGTCCAAATGCCCATATCTTGTCCACTGCTTCATTCCACGTTATACTGTCTTCCTCATCAAACAATTCTTTTAGTTCATTATAAAACGATTTGATTTCTTCTTTACATTGATAGTTGCCATTAACCAGTAGTTTGATAGTTTCTGTATTGGCATCAAGTAGATTGGTAATTTGTCCGGGTAGAGGGATGGCACGTATCGTAATGTTGCACTTCTTGTTCGCTGTTGTAATCTCGACCAAAGTCTTGTCAACATCCAAATTGATGTCTGTTTTTGGTACAGCAACTGCATCGCCTGAATCACATAAAAAAATCAACCTCAATCGACTTGATTGTTTCGACTCAGTCTTACTTGACGCAACTGCAATCACTAGCGCAAGACTCACCACCCTCGTTATCACTTCATCTTGTCTTGCAACTCACAACGTGGATCATCATTCACAAAATACCATCAATTCTGTCATTTCCTTTTCGACTCATAACTTTGGCTTCATTCAAGTAATGTTTGAAGCAACAGTGAATAACATGGTAAATAAAGTCGAGAAAGACTTCGGCTTCAAGGATTTTGTTTAACTTGGTCAGATTGTGTCTAACGTTTATTTAAAAGAATCCTACAATTTTCATTACCAATTTTCTGAAAAATCGAGCTTTTGTGAAAAAAGTGCTGCACATAACTATTAAATGTTAATAAGTGCGAAATTTACTTGCATAAAATGCAATCCGAATATATTATATTATAGGTAAAAGATTGCTTTAAAAGTTGGTCACGTTTAATATTACCTGCTTGAGAGAAGCCAAAGTTATTAGTCGAATATCAAATAACCAATTTATTTGCAGATCATGATCCACCTTAATTAAACTCATTGTGAATGGCTGGCCAGACCAATAGGCAATCTCTCTTTTCTCTCTTTCTTTTAATGAGAATTATGCTTCGGCTTTAACACACGGTCAATTGAATTCATAACCATACAGCCACATATTACATGCACTATCGTTGAAGTGCGGTCCAAAAAGTCGTTTGCAAACACGTTGTCAAACAAAAATAACTTGACTACAAAAAATGGTCGTTTTTAGTAGAATTCAGCAACTACTTTTCGATAGAAGATAATACCAAAAATAATTAAAATTAGTTTTACGAGAGTTTAACGTACCTGATATAGCCTCATTAACCATGTCTATTTTAGGTGGAGGTATTACGGTCTCGCGGAATGGAATGATCGGCGAAGAAACATAAAAAGGTACACAAGCAAACCGTTCCTTCAAGTCATCGACACACTTTTGTAGATGCACTTCGCCGGCAGCAACAATCACGTGTTCACCTGAAATATCAAAACAACAATAGTTGTTCATGTTTATTGACTGCATGGCATCAGGGAGGGAGATAAGTCATCGCTATTGCTGTAATGAAAATCGTTACGATACTGACATCTCCTTTCTTTTCAAATAATTATGTTATATTTGAACATAAGCTTCCCATTTCTGTATAGTTTCCACACGTTTCGACATCCTGCGTGGAAGTCATCTTCGAGTGAGAAAACAAACAGAAAGAGTCGGTAACGACATTTACATGATGGCGTAACTTTACTACAACTACCAGTAGCCCTGAGCAATTTCTTTGTTATTCAGATTTTTAATCTCTTTGGAGATTAGTAAAACAAGTGGGACTAATAGTTGGCAAAGCATTCTGGTAGTTGCAGAAAGTGACTATTGCCATTTTGTAACGTTTTTAAAGTAATTTAATGGTAACAATGCATTGCAGGTCTTGGAATGCAGTATTCATTATTCAACGTTTCCTGGAATAGCTGTAATTTCAATCTGTCTTGACTAGAATATTGCTATTTGCAGGTTGATTAGATGTATGTCAAAGTGTCTTATGAAATAAATTTTATCCTTTGTTCTTTACAACACAAATGTCCTGCTATGACTTCTTGACGCATCCTTGTCGTTCAGTGTCGTTAAATATTGTTATTGTAGATGCCAGTCTAGTCATGTTTGCTGACATTTCAACGTTTATCAAAAGGAAATAACACTACAGGCAAACGACACAGGACCTCGAATAAGGAAATTCTGGGACGAAGACGTCAACCCCTCGTATTGAAAACACCTACCCTGGATACCGGCGGTTGGAATTTACCCTTTTTTGTAGTTTGTTTATGGTGCCATGCGCTGTATGCAGGCCGTCAGTCCGATACGGTAAACAGTGAGAAAAGGAAAATTTTAACCTCTTGTAACCAAGGAAACCATTACGAATAACCCGTTATAAGGTTCCTAACTTTACAGCGAACAATTGCAACTGGTTGCTATAATGTCAGTCAAAACGACAGTTTTGTGTGTTGACTATATACCTTACTAACGTCACAGATTACCTGTTCTGGCCATAAAGGTCTCAACACAGGGATCGGCTTGGTTTAACAATCGAATCCCGCGGGACAATGCGGGTAGGTCAGCATAATGCACTGGCTCTACAGCAACTCGTACAATGGGCCGGGCTTCAATATGAAGTGATGTAAATGGCGGGCACATAACAGTACTTGAAACTGTGGCTGATTTTAACACGTGGTTATGCAGGCCACCAATGCCAAGTACATTACCAGCGGGAACGTCGTGAAGGGCTTCAAGCTCGCGTCCCATCAATAGATAGAGATCATCTACTGTAAACACAGCCATGTCTTGTTTCATTCCTAGATCAACAGACTGGGTAATGGCAAGTCCCTCTGACGACCTAATGTTAGAAATGGCGTCATGTCCACAAAATCAACATAAAATAGGAATGCGTAATATCATAGAACGAAGAGCGCATAGCATAAAAAGAAAAAGATGAAGAAAAGAAATGGACAAATGACAACAATGAAGAATGACTTGGGACAGAGATGATAAGAAGATGTAAGATGTCAATACTGGAATTTACAAAGATTGAAAAACATGGAAGAATAACTAAATGAAACCAAATACAATTACTTGTTCTCTGTTGCTCCCTCGTCGCATACGAATGTCTCTTTGTCTGAAACTGTGGCCGGGTCGTGCCTTGGACCAAGAATATACAATGTCTGCCCTTTCTTGATCATCCCACTGTACACTCTAGCAAATGCTATGAAGTGTGTAGTTGGCGTGACATTCTCTTCCTCCTGTTGCGTTGCGAATTCACTGGTGTTTTGGGGAAATTCTTCATGTTTGGAGTTCAACAACATTTCTTCATGTTTCTCACGAGCGCGTTGTCGACGTTCAGCAATTTCCTCCTGGGTCAAGGGCCTGGGTTAAAATCAGTTCAAGATATTATCAAATCTACATCTAATTGAAAGAATGTTGCATATAAAAACAAAACAAAAATACCTTTAGACAAGTAATTATATAGGATTTGATATTATAGTAACTGATTAAGGTTCAACTTCTTTGATTTTCGTTTGTCGTATTATTCATTTCTATACGTAAATTTTCTTTTTCAAAAGTTTAGTTTTTATTTTCGTGTCAAGTTTCTTGTAAAAATACTGTAGGTGTAAACAAGGTAAATATTGCACATTAGAATTGATCCTGTGAAAGTTAAGGCTTGTAGCTTAGCATACTTTGCTGCTGAAGGTGCGCCCCTTCAGCTTGCAGGGCCACGTGGTATCTTCATGTGTTTGTCACGCGCACTAAGTCGCTTCAATTCATTTGATTCCCAGCCCTCCTCGGTGGTAAGTATATGATTTAGGTAAGTATTCTCCATTGACTTCGTCAATGTGACTGTTGCCAGGTGGTGGATCATGGTTGGGTTACCATGGTTACCTCCTGGTCATGTCCAGTGACGCGCTGCCATGACCGATTTCAGGCAACATATTCCATACTCATCAATGCATGAATATGAACCAATGACAGAAAAACAAGAATTAATGAATGAATAATACGAATATCAAAACAAGGATTGATTGTTTGATGCCAAGAGTGACCTCATTATTGTATACACAAATGCATGAAGGAACAATATTCAATAACCGACTCTCTATAAACAAGAGAAATGATCAGCGAATGTTCCTAATGAAAACAAACCTCTTTTTATGCTTGGGTAGAGCTCTGTCATCTACAGCAACCATCTTTGACACGAACACAATGACAGGAGCATCATCATTTGATGAACACGACAAGAAAGCTAAAGACAGAAACACAAGAAAATTAAGGACAGAAACACAAGAACACTAAGGACAGAAACACAACAAAACTAAGGACAGAAACACAAGAAAGCTAAGGACAGAAACACAAGAAAATTAAGGACAGAAACACAAGAACACTATGGACAGAAACACAAGAAAACTAAGCAAAGAAACACAAGAACACTAAGCAAAGAAACACAAGAAAACTTAGAAATCCACAAAATGAGCAAATAAACATGAATAAAACAGGATTGTACAGTTAGCATACCTTGCTTCAGGTTCTTGCTCTTGTCTGGCAGTGATTCGTATGTTCTTAGTCCGCTAGAGAGTAGTTTTTCAACCCTGTCTTCCTCTATTTCCAATGGACTGGGTAGTTTGTCAACAACCATGTTCAGCACAACTGAGGACAAGGGCAGCCATTTTCCAAGGATCGCCTGAAGCTTAACCCGTGGGTCAGAACTTCGACTATCCCTAGCTGAGATTTTCACATTGAGAGACTGAGCAATTTGCTCAATTTTAAGTTTGTCTCTACAAATCAAATACACAGGGTTACTAGTGATTAAAAAGGGAAGATCATGATTTCAGTTCGTCATTTATCTATTCTCTTAATTTAACACTATCTACTCTCTATTATTGCTACCATAGCAACATTCCATACTAGCAAAGGTTAAATAAACCTTATTGTATTAGAATATACCAGTTGTCAGTTCTTATCTTAAACGTCTCGGTCAATTAAACAACTGACAATCCTTGTTTTTTTCATCAGTGCAAATTGACAGAGTTCAGTGACATGCCTCTATACTATTGCCCTTATAGTGGGTTTGGAGAACTAGCAAGCAACCTTTGCCCTTATAGTGGGTTTGGAGAACTAGCAAGCAACATTTGCCCTTATAGTGGGTTTGGAGAACTAGCAAGCAACCTTTCCTTGTATTATCAATTCTCTATTTCTATGATGTAATACTGTAGAAGGGACATTTTTTCTAAGCTTTTCATGGATGGTGCTCTCTATGCTTCTTCAGCTTAGTCTGTCTTCATGTTATTTTCACATTGACGTGGTTGTGGTTGTCAATTTATAAATAAATGCTACATGTACCTTTATTGGTACATGCCACAATGAGAATGAATGACGCATTAAATCAGTTTTCACGTCATTGAAAAACCTAGTCTGTTTGTTTCAGTTATGCATTAGTACTTTCGGAGTACAATGCGTCCGCCATCTTGAAAAGTGAGACCCGAATCACTATGTTGTGCCTTAGAACACATTTCGCAGTTGCTAAGTCAACTAATCTATCATTATATTAGTATAATTGTATTATCTTGATATTAGCTGAGAATTTAGAAAATTTATAATTCAGTGATTTGAGTCCCACTTTTCAAGATGGAGGACATACTGTTTTCCAAAAGTACTGTTACATGTATACCGGAGCTCCAGTTAAGTTAAGAGTCTGATCAACTGAAACAATTAAGTTTCATATTTCATTTTATACCACAACTAATGTGGAGTTTAATTGAAATTTGAGTGAAATTGCACTATATATTCTGTTACCTTCTGATAACCACAGCATCGTAAATGGACCAAATATTCTGTAAGATAAACTGTACAAACAAAGGTTTTTTGCCTTTACTCTGTGCCTTCTTGAAGATTCTCTTGGACTTTGGATCAAGATAAAAATCACCCCACAGTGTCTTTTGCAATATATCAGCTCTCAGACCAAGCTTCTTGGAATAAATGGCAGCAAAATCATCAATGCTGAAATAGGAACATTGCAATCAAGTTTATAGAAAAACCCTCCCTTCTCCAACTCTTTTTTGTGATTGTTATCATCTTAACCAGAAAACATTGAAAACATACAGTAAAATTAATCTGATTGTTTACTTTTAAAGACAAAAACAAAGTCATTATGCATAAATTAGAATTCCCAGGAAAAATTTTAATTATAAACTTTTGACTTTTTAACTTTTTTTTCAAGATATTAACATTGTAAAGAAGTTTTGGAAGTTTATGTCGAATATTCTTGCAAAGAAATAAAAATATGCAAATGTTTTTTAATGGGATTGACTTTTAACACAATAGGATAGAACATAATATGTAGAATAAAATGAATAGACTACACATAATGTAGGCTCAAAAGAACACTAAAAGACAACAAGAAGTGAGCTCTAGAAAGGTACCTAAATCCCCAGCCATCAATTGCACTTGCAAAGACCACATTTCCCAGGTCAGGAGAAAAGTATAAGGTAGAGTCATCAACATCATCCAGCCCTGAGCTCCAGTGTTCAATAGACACCGCTGTATCATCTCCTATTAGGTTTGTAGGTTTCTCATTAGTTACTTTGTTGGATGATTTCTCCATGACTGCTGAGGTGAAGAGTTTACCAGTAATGGCATTGACCTGGGCAATAATAATTAACTTTATTAATAAAATTGATTTACAATCCAGAGGATTGACAAACTCAATAAATATGTTTACAAGAATAGTATGAATTAAAAAGACTAGTAAAATAATGTTCTATGAAATCATTGGGTGTTCCTTAGTCCCACTTTGAAATTGAACGAGGAAAKAAACTGTTCTTGAACCTATTTGTGCAGTATTTCAATAGAGGTATATAAGTCTTGGATTTCTTTAATTGTGAGGTTATTGCATAATGTTCACATAAGAGTTTGTAGGTAACCTGTTGTCTGGTCAAGTTGTGTCTTTTGTAGAATTTTTYGCACAAATGTTCATGCCTTCAGAAAGCCTTGATAGGGTGAAAGTTTTTATTTCTTTGTACAACATATAAGGGTAAATGGATGTCTTCTAACTGGTTGTTAAGTCAAACATTACATTATACAGCCTTTTGCAAAAATTATGAGAATTGTTGAAATATCCAAATATCATAATATCAAGTGCATGATGGGTAATCCCGCGCGATGCCCTTAGTCCCTTGTCTTTGTAGTTTAGTTTTTTTTTGGCGACGGACTTATCCCTAGTTCTGAACATTTTTTCGATGTCAACAATGAATTATTCTAGCAAACCTGCGTGTTCCGGACAATATATGGATATGGATATTATGATATTTAGATATTTAGACAATTCTCATAATTTTTGCAAAAGGCTGTATGTCATTTAATTATATATCTTACTAATAACTCATGGTGACTGATGCCACTGAAATGTTGAGTCTTGTCGTTATAAAATTTATTGTAAAAATTACTAAGAACAAACACCTTTTAATGTTCTAATTATTTTGCATATTTCAGAAATTCTCTTTCTGATTCAATCATGTATTTTCAATGGTTTTTCAATGTTACCTGTTCCAGTATTTGCTGAAGGTGAAGATATGCTTCAACTGGGGTGTACTTTACTTCAGTGATCAACCTGTCTATTTTATTAATCACTAGACATGGACGGATGTTCTCCAACCAAGCTTGTCTCAGCACAACTTGTGTCTGTAAATCACATGATTGTGTGATTCAGTCATGTACTATTGTCAGAGAAAATGCTATATCCTAGATAAGTTAATGCAGATGCTCACACACAAACAATGGAATCTGCCATAATTGAAGAAGCCAGCTAATTCTGCACGTCATAATCATACCTGAGGAGAAACTCCTTCAACAGCATCAACCACAACAATAGCACCATCACAAAGCCTTACTGCTGTAGAAACCTAAAAAAAGGGAATATTGTTAGTTTACAATTGTTGCAGTCAGCAAAGCTCTTTGAGCCTTTGTATTAACTATTCATATCTGATACCAATACCAGAAATCAAAGTAGGAACATTGCAGCATATTAATCACATTCTAGCATTCCTAGCAGACATTATAACAGGGAATTTTCTTTTGAAAAGATCAGAACAGTGAGGGCAATGCATTATTGCACTATGTAACTATTTCATTCAGCATACTTCATTGTTTTGTTAAGAGCTTTAATTACCTCACTAGAGAAATCAACATGACCCGGAGAATCAATAAGGTTGATAAGGAATTCTTCATTATCTAGAAGAAAAATAGCATTACTATTTTAATAATTTTCATTTAGGATGCCATGTTCACTAATTCATACATGGCCAACATACTTTTACCTGGCGTACATGTAATTCTATCACGTCATCAGTTACATCACTACGGAGACACATGAGAAGCACGCACTTGCTTATTGAAACATTGCAYGCTTTGCTTTTTGAGAGACAGCACCTTCATTCCACACTCTGACTTCAAGKCATCTTATCAACCATTTCTTCAAAGTACTCTTTTTTCATCAAACTGTGAGTACTCTGAACTAAATTCTTAAAACGTGAGCGATKTTAATTTTAACACCGCTTTAGTTTTTCAGTTAAAATGAACCAGAACTGATGGGTACTGGCTGGCCTCAATGCGTCTAATGATCCGATATCATCCATCAATGATAGAATGGTGTCTATGGTGGATTACATGAAAAAGATTTGTGATAATCTGCCGGAGCCCAAACACTCTACTAATGGTGACCCACCATYGTCAAATCTTTAATARATCTATTAGTATTCTGTATTTTTATATAGAATACTAATAGATCTCATTTTCATTATCATTCATCAACCCCACCCTTTCCCTGTTCTGAATTCAAGCCCTCCCCGCGCTTTAAGTATGTATTGGTGAATACAAGGGTAGTCATGTGACTGCTATAACAGTTTAGCAACTCATGTAGCACCCGAAATACTGCAATTATCAATCTTATATTTATTATGAAACTTTGTATAC